GCGGCTGCCCTCGGCCAGGTGGCTGGAGCACACCTTGGAGGCCTAGAGGGGTAGCTTTCAACCTTGACGTGAAGGAAATGGGTTTCTTCCTTTCCGGGGCGATGATTGATAAAAAGTGAGTTCATCTACTCCTCTAGCTGTCCGTCCATCCGTCCGTCCGTCTGCCCGCCTGTCCATCTATCATCTATCTATTGGATCTATCTGTAATTATGTAATTACACTAGAAGCTCTCTTTATTTCCTGGAATTTTCATGCACAAGAATCAATATATTCAATATATGCTTTAGGCGAGTTTAAACAGGGTTTCTGTTGGTACATACAACAGAGACCTGATTAAAATAATTGCACATTTCACTATTCACATTTTAGTCTGTCTATAACGTACATAGTCTTTAGTAACTTTATCTATAGCGATCTTGTCTCCTCTATTAGATAGTAAGTTCTTAAGACCTGAAGCAAATCTTTTAAATATAATATGACATATATAAGAAAGTATATACAGTGTAATATAATATATATTTTGATATATAGTATATATGTTATATATTTATATATATAATGTGTGTGTGTGTGTATATATATATAGAGAGAGAGAGAGAGAGACCTGATGAACTGTCACTGACTGGCCATGTTTGTGTACCCAGCACCCAGATCAAGGCACAGAAGATGACCAGCACCCCAGCATCTGATCAGGTCCATGCCCTGCTCCCCCCATTATGTCCACAGTGGTAAACCACTATCCTGACTTCTAGCGGCGTGTGGTCGTCTTCCTGGGTGTTGTGCTTTGTATAAACAGAATCGCGTACTCTTGCATCTGGTTTCTTTCTCTCAACATTCTGTTTATGACACTCCAGATAGTATGCGGCTCAGTTTTTTAATCCTTGCTGTGGAGCCATTGTGTGTGTGAGTAGGCCATAAGTTATCCATTCCACTCTTGTTGGGCACTTGGGCAGTTTCCAGTTTCAGGTTATCATGAATAGAGTAGTATGAATATTCTAGAGCTTGTCATTTAGTGGCAACCTGCATGCCTTTGTTTTGGATCTTTGCTGAGTCACGGGGGTTGTGTACAGCAACTTTATTAGACCCACCAAAAGTTTCCCAAAGTGGCTGTACAAATTTGCCCTCCTACCAGCAGGCTAAGAGATTTCCCGCTGCTCCCTGTTGTCAATACTCGGTATTTTCTGAAGGACTGCTACACTTTTATTCTTATTAATTACTGTGTTTCCTTGCTTAGTTTTGTTAGATATAACAATGGACTGACAAAATTGCACTCCACAAAATAAGTTACTTGATAGGAAAAGTGGACTATGGATGGTCAGTTAGTAACACAAGGGTGGGACAACTTTGTCCACTGTCGTGACCATTAGGTAGAGGACCAGGCATCGGCGTCGCCAGGGGTCACTGTTACTGTAGGCATTTCTTGAGCTTCAGGGAACTTTCTCCTTTTGACATTCAGATTTCTGGACAGAAATCATGTTATGTTGGTGCTGCCAAGGTTTCTGGTCTCTGTTGTAATCAGGTTACTGAATTCCCTGGACTCAGTTCAGTTCTAAGACTGGCAGAGACAGAGCACATATGGGGACACTGGTCTGGGGATGGGCCTTGGAGTGGAGGAGAGCTGCATTCCACATGTGCATAAATGGGAGTGTCTGCACCCCTACTTTCAGAGGCATCTGGTAACTCTAAATCCAGAGAGTTCCCCACTGTCTCCATTTGGAATCCCTTTGTCTAGGGGCTCCCTCCTCCCCGTGCATGGACTTTCATTCTTGGCTCAAAAAATAGTGTCATTGTTCTGTTCCTCTTCCAGCTCCCATACTGCTGTTCCTGTTGTCTCCTCTGCCATTCTGTGCCTTTAAAGACTTTATTTCATGTCCTTTTGGAAGAATTTGGGGAGGGAGTGGAAATAAATGCACGTGTTTGACCTTTCTTTATTAGGGAGTGGAGAACTTTTTTAAATGAACATTTAAAAACAGTATTATATGTGTTTCTACATTTTTTCTTTTTATTGTATTTATTGGGGTGACACTGGTTAACAAAATTTTACAGGTTTCAGGTGCACAATTCCACAACACATCATCTGTACACTGTATTATATGTTCACTATCCTATGTGGGATGGAGTTTAATGGACAGCTGGCAATTCTTGCCACAAGTAATATCCACTCAATCATGGACTTGATATGAGGGATTTTTTTTCTAGTACAAAGCAAAATCAATACATGACCACTATACAAATGCTTTAAGGTTTGTTTTCACAACATCTTAAATAACCTTGCATAGCTCCAGGAATAAAACGCACTACACTTTGCTGAACACTGAGCTTTTGTATTTCTTTGCTTTAAATTACAAGAGCCTGATTGTAAGCCCGGTCCCTGCTTGCTAGAGCTGCTCTATAAAGGTTTCCTTCAGCCTTTTGAGAATTAAAAAAAAAAAAAAGAAAAAAAAGAAAAATGGAAAAAGTGAATCAGAAAAGCATGTAAAAATTTAGGTCCAGAAAAGTTAAGATTGACTTACATTCTGGAAAGGGCTCAGCAAACTCAAATTGTTGTAGATTTTATTACAGACATATAGCAACCTCACACTAAAGCAGTGTCGTGTGTGTTTTCTTACACTGAGGATTATCAGAGTTCATCAGTGCCCCAGACTGTTCATGCCTTGTCCTGATTATCCCGAGCATTAAGAGGTGACAGGATTTGGAAGAGCAGAGAAGAAACATTCGAAACCATGTGGTAAAGATGACAAAGCCACCTCCATGTAGATCAGGGATCAATAACCTCTGATCCATGTCCCAAATCCAGCCCAACACCTCGTTTGAAATAGAGTTTTATTGAAACACAGCGTGCCCTTTCCCCTGGATATTGTCTGTGCTCTTTCTGCTACAACAGCAGAGTTGAGTAATTGCCAGACACCCTATGACCCGAAAAGCCTAAAATATCCACTATCTGGCTCTGTAGAGGAAGTTTGCTGACCTCCTGATGGATCCCCGAGTGGCCGTATGGAGAATAGCACCCCAGCTCTTTTCATGAGCAAGAACAGAGCCGCTGGGACTGTGGAAGTCTTCCTGCCAGTTTACCCTGATTTCACCGTAGGCCCTTACTCAGCAGGAGCTAAGCTCCGAGGCCCCACGTGACCGCCTGCTGGCGGCGGCCTGAGTGCCAGTTGTTTGTGCCATGTCAGATGACTGTTTATGCCCGGGGGGCGTGCAGCTCTCTCCAGGACCCACCTCCAGGCCAAAATTTCCCACAGGTGCTCTCAGTAAAGTCCTAGAGCCAGAATGACCCCAGGGAGTTATCACCCAACTATAACACAGCACCAAGGTCTTTGAGATTTGTGATCATGTGACTTATGCCCAATGATCTGAGTGTCAAAAGGGAAATGTGCCCTGAAGCTCACTGAATTGGCTGCAATAAAGATGACCTTTGATCAAGTCAGTCCCTGGTCACCTAACTGGTGGTCATGATGTTGGACACCCACAGCTCACTTTTCCCATTGATAACTTACTTTGGGGTCTACACTTTTGTAAGCCAGTTATCGGTGTTATTACTTATATATCTCCATTCACTTTTTATTTTTACCATCCTTTAAATTTTTAAAAATGCAACGACACGTCTTCCATGCTTACCTTTATTCATGGCAAGTTATACAGGTCTTCCACTTATGGAAATGGTATAAGATTTTCTTTTTGAATGGGTATGTTTAAAGTAAAAATAATTACCACTTAAGGAAAACTGCTAACAAGACTACAGATGGTCGCTGATATGGCAAAAAAGCAGGATGTTAGTATGAGAATAACTGAAGTCCCAGAAACATTGCATGTGTTCTAGGCTGCAATGGAGAATGTCACAGAATTCTAGATTCACAGGATGTTGGTCCAGAGTGGACCGTGCATGAGAGATCACCTCACCTCTAGTCACCCGCTGCCTCTTACCACTCCCTTTCCAGAAAAAAACCCCAGTGTCACCCAGCAGGCTTCCCCACCTCTGGGTGATCTTCACTGTGAAGTCTACGCCGATTAATGCTGTGATTAACGGGCAAAGCCAAATGAAGGGCACAGTAGCACCCGGGCTCACACTTGCCCAGTGCTTGCTCGAGTGCGTGGTGTCCATCTGTCTGTTGAGTAAATTGATGGAGATGGAGAGGTTGGAGGGCTAATTTGGAGCCCCTAGGGGTGACTCCTAAGACCCATCCAACTGCTTAGGAGTTAAGGCCAGTTCCTGGGATTTTACTCCCCAGATCATCTAAAAGTCATATTCCCAGTCAAGTGCCACTGAAGCATGAAGCACTATGATGCAGGGGGACTATGCCTGTGAGGCAAACCGAGGTCTGGCTTCAGACCCCAGGCTCAGCCATCGCTTTTACAGAGTCACCATGAGCCAGGAATGGGCTTCCATGCTGCAGCCAGATGCGGCGAGGTCTGGAGGTGGCTCCCTCTGCGGAACGGGTTGGTGTCCCAAGCAGGCATATGATTGATTGAACAGTGGGATCTGAAGAGTAATTCACCTTCAGGTTCTATCTTTTGCTGATACAGCACCCTGCAGTTTCCATAGGCTAACAGTCATGGCTGTGTTTCCACGTTGCAAAGGCCAGTGTGTGTGTGTGCATGTGTGTGTGTGTGTGTGTGTGTGTGTGTGTGTGTGTATTTGGTGTAGGTGATTAGAATTAGCTTGGAAGACAGCCCAGATTGTCCCATGTGGAGAGAGATATGGGTGCTCTTTATGACCTGCGTTTTTTTCCTAGATAAAAGATAGGAACCCTAGCCCAGGTCAGTTTTTATAGAAGTCACCCTTGGGGACTGATTCTAATGCTGTCACAAAGTCCACACCCCCACCACAGGGAAGCTAAGAGACTTGTCCTAAATGCCCCAGTTGAGCACCTGTGGGGCTGGGAGTTGCACAAAAAGTTTTCAAGCTTGTTCTGAGCATGCCCAGACCAGAGCCTCCCCTGTTCTACAGGCATCTTCTTGAGCCTGCCTTGGGAAGCTCACTGCCTACTAAGGTTGAAGCCTCCAAGGGAGAAGCCCTTATGTAACAAGTTGCTGGACAACTCTGGGAATCTGAGAACTCTGCCCTGCCTCTCAGAGGAAAAAGGTTAGCTCTGGGTGGGCGTGGCCTGGACCCCCCCC